TGTCCGTGATGCGCATCGCTAAATGAAGGATGGCGACTGGGAGCGACGCAACCGCCTCAAAGTGTACGAGGGCATCTACCATGTCTTTATCCGCGACTTTAAGCGAGGCTCTGAGCTTCTGCTTGACTCCATTTCCACCTTTGCCTCCAGTGAGCTGATGGATTTCAATGAGTTCATCCTCATCACTGTTGTCGCAAGCCTGCCGGTTCTGAGTCGCTCCGAGTTGAAGCAGCAGATTTTGGATAGCCCGGAGGTGCGGAGCGCCAATATCAAGGATGTTTTTCATCTTATCACAGTCATTTATAATTGTCGCTACAAGGAAGTGTTCTCTGCACTCGACACGGTTTGCCAGCATCTGCGAGGCATTGTTTACCTTTCTCAGCACGTGAACTACTTTTTTCGTGAGGTGCGAGTGCTGGTATTCACGCAGTTTCTGGATTCCTATAGCAGCGTCACGTTGAATTCGATGAGCGCAGCCTTTGGCATTCCCCCACCGGTGCTGGATAGCATGTTGGGAACGCTCATCTCGAATGAGCGTATTGCATGTAAAATGGACCGTGTCTCGGATAGCATCACTACGTACAGGGGAGATACGACGAATTTTGACTATCACCGCATTGTCAAGAATGGTGACTTGTTACTGAATCGCATTCAGAAGTTGTCCCGTCTGGCAGAGATGTGACTCACCCCTCTTTACATATATATTTTGTTGTTGCTGACAGCCCAGTGGGAATAAATACACACACACACAAATGATGGATGGAAATACCTTACGCACGGTAACACATAGAGATGTATGTTTGTGTTTCCTCTTGTGTGTGTGTGTGTAGAGGCGGCTGTTACATACGATAGCAGATGAATTCGTAAGATTTTGTGCCCCGTGTTTTCTCTTGCCGTGCTGACACCGACCTCGTGTTTTCTTTTATTTCCACATATTTTTCTTTTATTGTGCGCCTTCCTCTTATTTATATTCATTTATTTATTTGCTGGCTTCTCTGCTCATTTCAGTTTTTGTACAGGATGGGTACGGGTGTGGTGAAGCGGAAGCCAACACCCTCCGCCCTTCGAAAGAAAAAGGCACATCAGCGTATCCGAAAGCAGCTACGGCGCAGGCTGGAGAAGAAGAGGCCAAACTGGAAGGCCGCCTTAGCGAGGGCATACGTTGGCCCCGGCACCAGTGGGAAGAAAGGGGAGCCCTTCGGGAAAAACAAAAGAAAGCGCTCACGTGACGCTGATGTCGACGGCGATGCTGCTGCTGCTGATGGTGATGGTGACAATGATAATGATGGGGAGGTGCAAAGTGACGTGGATGAGGAGAAACAGGAGCGCATGAACCAGCGGGACCCGCTTGAGACACAACTGTTTCTTAAGCGACTTCCATTAGACACGTCCGAAGAGGAGATGATGAAGTTTTTTGAGTCCCGCTTTGGGAAGGTGCGTCGTGTGCTGCTTGTGCGCAACAGGGCGACCAAAACACTGGCGGGAACGGGGTTTGTTCACTGCGGCTCCGTCGAGTTGGCCGACAAGATATTTGAACATGCACAGCAGAACACCCGCGAGCTTGCCGCCGCCAACCGGGAGGAATGGCAGGAAAAGACGACGGACCTCTCGCACTGCCAGGCGAAACGCATGCGGTTCAAACTTCGCACCGATGCGTGCATGTTCCGTGATCCGTTTTTGAATATCCGCGAGACACGCTTCACGGTACATCGCGTGCTTTCGAGAACCGACTCACAGGAGACCTCCGCGGCACTGCAGAAAAAGAAAAAGCGGACAAAAGTAGCTGCCGATGACCCGCGTCACTTATACCTGCTTCGGGAGGGACTAATTCTTCCGGATACTCCCGCTGCTCGCGGCCTGCATCCACAATATCTTACCATGATTCAACAAGACTACGAGGCCCGCAAGGAACAGCTACGCAACAGCAACCTTTTTGTGAGCACCACCCGCTTGAATGTGCGCAACTTGCCGCGCACCATGTTGGAGAAGGAGGTGCGGGCCATATTCGCCGCCCCAGTGCGCTCCTTTCTCAAGGAAAACAAGGAGCATATGGACAAGGACAAGTGGGGCAAGTATGGCCCAATCAAAAACGTTAAGCTGGTAAAGGACTCCGCCGGCACCTCAAGAGGATACGCCTTCATTGAGTTTGTCAATCACCCAATAGCCCTGCATGCACTGCGCACGATTAACAACAACCCTACCATCTTTGGGGACAGGCGACGCCTGATGGTTTCTTTCGCGATTGAGGACATCAACGCCATTCAAAAACTGCAGCGTATGCGAGAAATACGGCGCCAGCATCAAACTCCACGTGGAGAAAAGAGCAATGAAGAGGGATGCATGGGGGGGCCCGCCGTGCATGCGGACGGACAGGGGCGGACCGTGGGAGGGAAACAAAAAAAACAACCGCCCAATAAAATGAAGGGAAAGAAAGCGGCCACGGGGAATCGAGTAATCGGCAGAACAGCGCCGGAGGAGTGAAAAGAAGGAGAAATAATAAAAACATCAAAAAAAAGAAAAAACAGAACGAAGAGTGTGAAGAAGCGTTTATCTTCTTTTCCTTTTTGCTGTCCCCCCTCCTCCTTTTTTTTTTTTCTTTGGCCTTGCTGTTTTTTTTTTTCTCTCTCTCTCCTTTTCTTCCTTTTTTTCTTCTTCCTGCTCCTGTCTATCCAGCTTTAGCCGAAGAGTGAGCAGAGTCGCCTCTCCCCATTTCCATCCCAGCTGCTGGTGGTGGCGGTGGAAGAAAAAAAGAGCAACTAAAGAACAACAACAACAACAACAAAAGGGAAAAAGAGAAAAATCAAAAGAAAAAAAGGCAAGGAAAAAAAAAAATACGGGTGGAAAGAATCAGGATTTGGGTTTTATTAGTTGGGCACTACTTTATTAGGGCAGATGTGGTCCAGTGAGGCCCCACCCGGGGGACCACCAGAGTTTCCAACGTTTCCGCTGCCGCCCGGCAACAACGGCGCCGCACAAAGCAGATCGTATCTTGCAGAAACGGGGGTTCAGGGTGTGGCGGCACAATATCCCTCCGAATCGCCCATTTTTCTTCAGGAGGCGCATACGCGACGGGAGGAATACGCTAACGAGGCCGTTCAGGCCACGGCAGAGCACTGGATACATGAACAAGCACAGCGTGAGAAAATGAGGCAGACGGCCAGAATGGAAACCGATGTTATGTTTGGAGAGGCGACTGGGAGGGAGGCGGAAGAGTGCGAGGGCTCTTTGGAATTTGTGACGGGGCCACCCAAATTTGTTGGGAGAATAATCTTGCTGTTAGCAGTGGGTCTCTTTGGAGCCATCCCTCTAATGTCCCCCTTCGCATTAACAGTTTTTCTGACGGGGTGTATTGTGACATATGCGGCGGATTTTGCAGGCTACCGTCGCGGTTGCATTATAGCGATCATAGGCACAAACGGATTATTTGGATTGTCGCTGTTTTTGTCTAACTTACATGCCTCCATTTCAAGTGTGGGCCCTTTATGTATGCTTTTGAGCCTGCTGGGATTACTCCTTATGGCAGCCATGGCAGCATTTCTGCATTTTCATTGGATGCAAGTTTCTTTTCCGGAGCTAATATGTTTTATGGAACGCTGCGTGCTTGGTGTGACCCCAATTCTTACATTGCCCTCTTTGTTGTCTACCGTCACGGCTTTGGTCGGATCCCGGCACGCTCCTGCCTGGTTTATGGTAGCCATGTGTGTGCTTCACAAGAGTTTTTATTGCCCCTTGGAAAGTAGCTTCCTTACGCAGCGAAGACTTGTTCGACTACGGCAGGAGAATGACAATGCCCCTGAAAATGAAATGGTAGAAGAAGTGGAGTCGGTGCAGGCGAACGGAAGGGCCGAGGCGATAACGTTTACTTCGCTGTTGGTGTACCTCCCGTTCTTGCTGTATATTTTATTTCAGAGCAGTTTTATCGATGCATGGCTGCCCAATACTCTCAATGCAGTTGGCATGATCTGCGGACCCGGTTGCCTACATCTGCTGGGATCCGAAGCATAGCCTGTGGTTTCTGATATCAAAGAAAAAGAGTTTGCGAGATCGAATTGGGTACGATCCTCTCGGAGTACAAGAGACTGTCAGCATGTATCGTAAACCATTTCTCATTTTGAGTGTGGCAGTCAGTTTGCATTGGTCTATCTATCGCCTACTTCATTCCCGTTACAGATTTTTTTTTAATGGGGTCCCTCCACCATTTAATGGTGTCTGTTTGGCTTTTGCCATGTACTTGGGATTGTACGCGGGGTATCAAATAAAGAAACTGCTGGATGCAGACACGCGGGGGGAAGATACACTTTCCTCTCGATATATGAGACGACGTGTATTTTCAGTAGGAGCAACCGCTTTGTCGTCTGTTTTTTTCGCACTGAGTGCGGGCGTCCCCGGGGCTTTTATGGTTCTCATGGTGCTCTGTGTGTCGTCCTTCAACCTTTTTCTGCTGGATCGTACAAACAGCGGACCAATGGTGTCATTCACCGTTTTCTCGAGTCTTCTTCTTATGTGGTGGATGTACCGCACGTTTTCGTTTATTGTTGTAGATTTGCATGTACTTGGGGAGTCCCTGACCGTTCCAACACCTGTGTTGGCGATGAGTGTACTATGGTGCTACTTGCTCAGTTGCGTCGCGTTTACCTTGTCATTCTCAACGAACAAATTCCCGTTTTTCATTGCCTTATTTGTCCACTCTTTGCAGGTGGCATGGGTGGAACACGTGCTGTACTCTCAGAAGGAGGAGAATGTCTATCCCGCGGTGCTGGTGTTATTCACAACTGCCGTCGGTGTCCTGTTGGCCTCGCGGCTGTATAAAAATGAGACACTTGGAATACACGAGGCCGCCCTCATCGCGGCATCGTACGTTGCAAAGCTGCTGACATTTGTGGTGGAGGTGACGGGGTCATATTACCTCGCGGAATCGTCGGAGTCTGAAAAGCGGTATTACCACGCGATTGAAATTTCGGTCACCTGGTGGTCGGCGCTTTTTGCGGGTTTTGTTTTGGTGGTGTTTGAGCTCAAAAAGGGGAGACAACTTGAGAATCGCTACGCCCGTCATCTCACGGCGTTATTTGTGCTCAGCGTTTTGGCACTGACGGCAAGCACAACACGAAATTTTCAGCGTGCGGTGTTTGAGTTTTTTACGCAGACCCGTCTCGCCGATTCGAACAGTATTCACGTGATATTAGGGACCTCTTTTGTGTTTCTTGGCCTCATATCTCACCCATTCTTTTCTCGTCATGAAAGCTTGCATCCATTCCTGTATCCCCTGCGGGCCGTGGCGCGTGGTGCTCTAGTGGTGGGCATTATTTTTCTCATTACACAACCCACAAGAATTACGGAACACGAAGTTGAATTTGAGTTTGATCTTGATTTTGTTGACGAGGATGTAAGCCGATATTGCTCCGTCTTGGGTATGATGCTTCTTCTCGCGGGAAGATTTGTTCCGATGAATTCAGTGCACTTTATCTTTCGTGCCCTCTATTGGTTTTTCACCACTGTCTTTCTCTCTGTTGGACTCGCCATGTACGTGCTTCCAGTGCCGACGCTTCTCCTCTTCTGTGGAATGTGCGGCTTTGTGTACTTCTCATTACTGACGCTGGACGTTGCACACTACCGCAAGATGTCTTATAATGAGGGGTGGATTGTTTACGGTGTCTCAGTTTGTTTTATGTTCTTCTCGTTGGTTATAACGGGACGCGTGAATCTGAAGGAGTATGCGGGAGACAATTCCCCTTTGATTTGGGAGATTTACACAGCGGGGAGAAGTCGTCAACTCTCCGTGGCAGGTGTCACGAGTCTTTTTATTGCCATCATACTGAAGTTTAGGGTGAGCGGCAAGTCCCTTTTGCCCTGTGCGCTACCACTCACCTTGGAGCTAGTGGAGCAGGTGGGGCTGTTGGTGAACTACAGCACCGTCATCGCAGTGTCCGCACTGACAACACACAACATTTGGCGCAACGGCAGTGAGCCTGGGCTACACGTCGCGACATCTCTTTTTCTTCTTCTGTTAGCAGATGACGGTGTACTCTTTACGGGTCTGGGGCGTGGACAGTTCCGTTACTTCCCTGTGTTAGTCTACGTTCTCAGCGTGCTGTGGCTTTGCCTCATCTACGACGCTTACGCCTCCGGCCAGACGGCGGTGGGCGGGCTCTGGCAGTGCATTCGGTCTATCTTCTACGCGATGCCGGTCGTCCCCTCACACGTCTCGCTGCTGCTGTTGTTGTGGTTCGGGAGAAAGCGTGGGGGGACGCCAACCTCCGGTGTCTTTGTGTTTGTTGTACTCGACATGTTGTGCCTGCTTCTCTCAACCCGCAAGACACTTCAGTGGATGGCGATTATCGGCGTCTGTGGGCAATGCGCTCGTCTTTTTGAGGCGCAGTTCTGGAAGAAGCGACTGGAGACAATTTTGTAAGCATCGAATACTGGGGGCGAGTGGGTTGCACACTCCCCTCACACACGAATGGAAAGAATGATTTCCAGTAGAGACCGGGGAAGGCGAGAGAGAGGAAACAAGAGGGGAACAAGAGCACAGACTTGCACAAAACCGGCTCTGCGAGGGTGGTGGTGGTGGGCGAAGGAAAACTGGGCGGTGATGCCCGTCGCTTAATTCAGGGCAAACACATGAAGTCACTGCATTGCTGGTTGGTGAGTGGTGCTGCTCTGCCAGGGTAGGTAGCATTATGCGTAGAATTGGGGCCGCGAAGTAAATAGTGGGGCGTGTGAGAAGAAGGTGGGGACAGGCGACGAAGAAAAACAGACAGACAATAAAAACAAAAAGAAAAAGGCGACAAAAAGGAAGAATTAGACTGAGAAGGAAAGAGAAGGGGATGAGAAAAAAAAAAAAAAAAACAGATTTGGAGGGAACCTCACGGATGGGTAACGAGGTGTGCTGCCGGTGTGTGACGCACTTGCATCATTATTTTTACACGCAAATAGAGCGACGACTTTTGTTTTCTCTCATTTTCTACCGGGTGTTTTTTTTTTTTTTTTTTTCCCTTTTTTTACTTCTGTCTGTGTGTGTGTGTTTGTGTTTGTGTTTGTGTTGCAATATTGTTGACTTAACCTTTTTGCGCCTGTAAAAGTATCACCGTCTTTTTCTTTTTTTATTATTATCTCTCCGCGCCCGGTTATTTTTATGTGCTTCTGTCTGTAAATATTTATATGGGGCAGTTATATCGTTCATGTATAATATACGCACGCACACACACACACACACACATATTTCTCTCGTTATCCTTTTATTTTTGTTATTCACGTTCTCTACAACAGGGTAGCAGCGGCAATGGATTCCCTGTTTTCACGTGGTCGGAAGCGCGTTTTCTCAGCGGCTTCCACCCGCAACGACGTGGTGCTGTCGCTTCCACCGTCATGGCGGGACGCTCTCGTTGAAGGGGAGAGAAGGCGGCAGAAAAAGTCTCTGGACTCATCTGAGGAGCGGCCGTCGGCGCCGGAGGTTTGCCTTGTGTGCCACGGCTTTAGACATGTACGGCCTGCGGAGTCACCCCGTATTGAGCCCGCGTTACTGCGTCGCACTATCCTTCATCCAAGTCCGCCTGCGTTTATGAGTGCGATATGCGTTGACCTGGAGACAACGGGGTTTTCTGCGCAGCGTGATGATATTGTTTCCATCGGTGCGGTGGAGCTGCGTTGGGACGGGACGACTTTGCAACAATGGGTATTGGGCGCCCGATCTTTTTTCCGCACTGTGCGGCCATCGAAGCCCAGCAGTCACCAGGCGGAGGCGGTGCATGGCCTTTCATTTGAAATGCTGCGAGACGCACCACTACTCGAAGATGTCATCTCGGATTTTGCCGCGTTTCTCATTCAACTAGACGGCAATTTGCCGCAGTCGGGGCAGACGGAGGAAAACCATCGTGCCAAGCCCGGCGATTTGTCTGCCAAGAAACGTTGCACAGCGGCGACCACCGCCGGCTGTGTGCTTACGCTTCCGCCCGTCATTGCCCACAACGCGAATTTCGATGCCTCCTTTCTGCAGCGTGCGGTGTCGGGGGCCGGCTGGCGGGTGGTGTGGGATGAATATGCCCCGCTTACGTGCACACAGTCGATGTTTCGGGCACTGTACTCTCACCAGGCGGCCGACTTGTCACGTGCGTGCCAGTTCTGCGGCGTTGACACTTCGGGAAGGGACGAGCGACACGACGCGCTGCACGATGCGCAACTCTGCGGGCGTCTTTTTCTTCGACTGGCCGAGAAGTGGCCCTTTCGTCGATGAGTGACCCGCTCCTCCATGTGAGTTTTTTTTTTTTTGTTCTTCCATCCGCCTCCGTGTCCGGAGTGAAATGCCAACAACAAATAACGAAAGGCTAAGCGATGTACTGTGGAAGAATGAGCGGTGCATGGCCGTTTTTGTTTTGTTTATCAAAAGAAAAAAAAATAATTTTACAATCACTACTCCTTTTTTTCTTTTTATCGATAACTGCAGCCGAAGGGAAGTTCACCTATACACATTCACACACACACACACACACAGGGGGAGAGAGGGAGAGAGAGAGACAGGCACACGCTGTGAAAGGACGGGATAAAAGAACGTCACTGCATTACAACGCGTGGCTTGAACATCCGGTGTGGTGAAGGAGGAAAGAATCAAAGCGGGGAAAAGGAATATATAAAAAAAGGAATTAAGGTGGAACGGCGAAGAGAAGAGAGTTGATCAACTGGCTTTCAGATGACAGAATTGCGACGTATCACCACAACGCACGTGGATTGGGCTTCTTTCGCTTGTGGCAACATCTTGGCTATTTCTACAGGGCGAAATCGACGCCGTAGTATTCGTGACAGCAGGGTGCTTCTAATCTCTGCCAGCGGTACAGTGTTGGCGGATGTAAAACTCACGGATGGCATTGGGGACGTGATGGATGCAGCGGCGGACAATTCGGCAAATGTGGTGGTCTGCTGCGCATGTCGTGGGTCCGGCCGAAATCAGAGGACGGCACTTGTGTTCATCTCAGGTTCACAGGTGTTGACGGTGCATGAATTGCCTCCCGTGAAGAAGAGTGTGGAGGCACCACGCCACAGTGTGATTTGCCTTCGTGTGGGAACTCAGGATGTTGCTGTTTATTCTCTTGGAACGGGCGAATTATTTGTATGCGTTCGTGATGGCGCCGAGCATATGGTGCATAATACGCTGTGGGACTTTGAAGACGCCCGCGTGATGCGTGTGGCTCGTGGTCGCCATCCTTTGGAGGTGCTTGCTCTACTGGACGACGGCAGCGTGGCGTTGGTTGAGGTGCGTGAGGATGATGATGGGTTTCTGGAGGGGTGTTGCCGTCATCACCTGCAGCTTTCGTCAACTGCCGTTCCGACGCAAGCCGTTTTTGCGTGTGGATTGACTTTGTGGGTACTGTGCAACGATCTCTCATTATTCGGGTATTGGTTTCAACCGCCTGTCTCTGGGGAAGACCCCGAACCGGTGCGGTTTTTCAGCGAGCAGTTGTCTCCCCCAGAGGAGACGGAGAATTCGGTGAGGGCACTTATGGCTGGTGAGACTCGCACATGTGGGGTTCACATTCTTTTCCAAACCCCAAAGGCGGTTCATTTTAGAAACCTTGCGGTGCATATCCCCAACGGGCCGTACCAGTTACCATCCCCAGCCACCGAGTGGTCAAACGGCGTGCTTCTGTGGAGTGGATACATCCACAGTTTCCTGTTCAGGCAATGTGGGTATGAGTTGCTTGTTCAGAGCGAGTTGGGTGGGTCTCCACTGAGCATGATGTCGTTGAGGCAGAACTCAAGTATTCTTACTTTTGGGGAATTACAAACTCGACTGCTGAGTCATCAAGTCGTCCGTGCCGCACCACTGGAGCTCGCGGGGCTGCGGGAGAAATGCGAATTGGGTGTACAAGAGCTTGAATCAGTGGCCGCTAAAGTGTCTGATTTATACGCCACAGAGAAGGCACTTTCCCAGTTGCTTCACTTGCAGCACGCTTTGGTGGCCACCCTCCACCGCGAACGTGAGCTTAACAATGAGGTGCAAACATCTCAAAGTGTATCCATGCATCTTATTAAACGACTTCACATTGTGTACATCCATCTGTCCATCTATCGACTCATGTGCTCCACGGGGTTTGAGGACAAGCTTGACGTTTCACTCCGTGAGGCACTTAGACTAGAGGAGGCACGACACGCTTCTTGCGTGTGCCAGGCAGATTTGCGCGCTCGGTTTGAGCAGGAGATGGATTTGACGTCTGTTTCAACCATGGGGACACTGAGCATGTGGGGGTCTCCTGACACGGCACCAGTCATGTGCATTGATGTCATCCTCTCGCAGCTGAGCTGCTCAGATCTCTGTTCGTTGAGGAGCGTTGTTCAGCAGATGACGACGATGGTTCCAGCAGTGGCTCTTCTTGTGCTTTACTGCAGCCATGCAAAGAAACAGCAAGAAGGGGAACAGCAGCAGGCGGAGGAACAGGGGGCGACGGCGGTACGGTATGAGTTTGCCCAACGTGACTCTGTTCGTGGGGAATTTTTAGAAACCTTCTGTCTGCCGCTCACCATGGACTTCTGGGCCTACCTGTCGTTTGTGGCGGATCATTGCCTGAATCCTGTCGATGTTGGCGCTGCGTACGGTGCTGGGTGTCCGCCGCTGATGGACCTTGTTCCTGGCCTCATTAACGGGTTGACGTACAGTGGAGCGTATGAGTTGGTATTTCAGTTGACTGGAATTGTGCTCACGCTTTCCAGTACCAGGGAGATGGATCCATCGGTGGCTGTGAAACTTCTCTTTTTGGCATACAGGCGTGGCAACTCCAAGGTGCTGGAGGCGTTGTACCGGCGGTCCCGCGGCACGGTCTGGGGAAATGCAGCGACCCACGCTCTTGGTTTGGCGGCATTGCAGACGGAAAGCGTGAAGCTGCTGAGCGGACTCATTGCACCACAGACCCCAGAGGAGACCGTTGTTGAGTCTATTCTGCGGCGTTGCCCAAACCCCTCCATGTCGAACGTGCTGCTGATGGAATTCTACATCCTTATGCGGCGCTATGCGGACGCACTGAAGATGTGTGAGAAGACTGTGTCTTGCCATTCGATAGACGCTCAGCGTGTGCAGGTGATTGCGTCACACTTGCGTAGCCTCATGCCAAATGGCAACGCGTCGTACGGTCTTTGCCGGGGCCTTGACGGCGGGGAAAATGTGCTTCCGCCAGGTCCCGACGCCTATTATTCCCGTTCTTCACTTCGTCGTCAGCTGCCGCCGTTGATCCCTTTTCACTCCGCTGCCGTCTCCGGTGACCCGCTGAGGAGCGAGGAACAGGAGCTTGAAGAAGACGTTGCCCGCACAGTGGCTCACATTTCTTCGTGGCGACATGACAAGAGTCCATTAGACGCATTCGGCGGCAGTGTGCGGCGCGGCGTGACTGCGATGAAATTCACGCCCACACCAGTGGCCTCCCTGGGCATTTTTCATGACGGGGCGCGTAGCGTCTCCCTTCCTGGCAGAAGCCTCACCCCACAACAGCAGCAGTTGCCGTCAGAGCCATCCATGTCGGTAAGGAGTGGCGCAGAGGGTCATAGTACGATGGGCGCATCATCGACAACGCTGCCACCACGCGCCGTTGCCACCGTATCGCAGGAGTACGAGCCGCTTTACTGCGAGGTCATTCTTAAGCGTAGCAAAAAGCCGTGCCGGCGGGAGCGACCGTGCAAATACCACGATAATGTGCGCAAGTGATATCGTGGCTCGTGGTGCGGCCAGACAGTCGCGGCGAAATGGGGAGGAGGACGATACTCGAAGAAATGGAAGAAAATTAAGGAAAAAGCAGCCATACACAAATGGGGAGAAGATGGGGGCAGAAGAAATCAAAATATATACGTGGGAGGCTGCAAAGGGAGCTCTTAGGGGACCAACACGCTCAGATTAAAAAAAAAAAACAAAAACAAAAACAAATTAAAACAAAAAAAAATCTAAATGGAACACAACAAATGTGTGTGTGTTTATATATGTATTTGTGTGGAGGAAATAACTATTGCAAGGGGACATGCATAAAAAAAGAAAAAAAATAAATAAATAGGCGGATGGAACTGCTGGTGCGGCGCCGCGGCATTTATAGAAACATATTTCTTATCCACCTTTCTTTCTGCGGCGTCTCTTTACATTTCCCTCCGTGCGCGTCGCCCGAGGTGTGCTTGTGTGTTAATCTTTGACTTTTCAAGGCACCCCGCTTTCTTTCTCCCGCTCCCTCCCTCCCACCGCCTGCCTTTGATTCCATCCGTCAAATTGCGGTGGGAAAATCGCTTACTGCGGGAATCTCGCAAATTTTGAGTGTTTTTTATACTTCTTGTCTTTTTTAAACTCTCCTTTGCTCCCCATTCATCTTGCAGTTTTTTTTTTTTTTTTTTTTTTTAGAGGGATTGACCTGCCGCAGTGGCCAACTGGAGTGGAGAGGGCTGCGTGGCGTCGTGAAGGCGTGATAGCTGCAAATATACACGCGCTTATATATATAGACGTACACATACACGCATACCCATTGCGGTGCACAGACCACTTCCTTCTTGGCGGACCGACGACGCGGTCCACGTGGCTCTTCTCTGGAGAAAAAACCGGTAATTAACACCACGAGAAGAAAAAAAAAAAAAAAAAGGAAACGAAGATTGGGACGCGCAGGAAATATTGCAGCGAACCAACACGGAAAACAAAAAAACAAAACAAAAAAAAAAAGAAAGGGTTATAACATATATAAATATATACGCACAAATACACAAAGATATATCTATCTATCTATCTATCTATATATATATATATATATATATATCTTATTAGCAGTCGAGAAAATTATTAGAACAATACGCAGACAACAACAATAACAGCAAAAGAAGACAATTGGAAGAACAGAAGAACAAACAAATAAAAAAAAAAAAAAGCAAAAACAACAACAACAAGAAAGAAAGAAAGAAAGAAAAAAAAAAGTGAAGTAAGTGAGGGGCTGTGGAAAAAAATAAAATAAGAAAGAAGAAGAAACCGGACATTGGGCTGGTGTGAGGGTCTGGGGTTAGGGCCACGGAAATACGTTCAGCAAATTAATATTGGGGCTTATTATTATTATTATTGCCTACCAAACGGAGGCGCTGCAGGAAAAGACGTGCAGTTTGGTGTCAGTCCAGCAGCGGCGTATGCGTGACACTGCTCGCACATGACAGATTGTCAGAATGAAGCAGCGTATTACCCCACCGTGGACCCAGCACAGATGGGACCCAATTCTGACCTTATTGCTGCGATTCCGTATCTTTGCGAATTTCGGTTGTCGACGCCCCATGTCATCTACAAGCCGCCCACCGTTCTTGATTTCCGAGCCGCAGGCGCCATTCCTCTCGAGCACATGTCGGAATCGCATAACAAACTCCCAACCATCACACTCTCTGCTGAGATCGCTCCATACCGAAGCAATTTTCGGGAGTTTTTGGCCACAGCCACTTCTAAATTCCTTTGCCCACCAGAACGTGAGGGAGCTGAGGCGATTTCGGAGGAGCTGCAGTGTGGCGGCCACGAAACGAGTGACCAGGAATACTGGAGTGAGGAGTATTGGAAATTGCTGCAGACAGAGGAGTTGGACTCTGCAGGGAGCATGGCGACCGATTCAGGTTTCCAAAGCCTCGGGGGAGCTAACCCTCGCTCAACGAATTTGGCCTCCACAACTTCACCAAGCCGGCGTCGTCGTGGGATAGCAAGAAGGAAGTGTGATTTCTCAAATGCAAGCCACCGTCGGGGTGAACGTGAAAATTTGCATGGCATTTGCCCTTCTCAGCGGTCAGCATGCGAGGACGTTTGCCCAGTCCCTTCGCGGGTGCGGCGCCATCCCCCCTCTGGGCCATCGTCTCGAGCCGGGGCGGGGACGTCCAGAGATTGCGAAGGGAGTTTGGGCCCGTACGACGACAGTAGTCTCATTCAACCCCCAAAGAAAGCGGGGGTAACGACCAACGTAGGGCCTAAAACAAAACGCCCGCGAAAAGCCGCAGGGCGTGTCCTGAATTCTTTGAGCGCAAAGGGCCGTCATGGCAAAGGCAAGAATAGCGTGGGGACAGAAGATGCATTTGCGGTGCATCCGCCCGGAATACATGAAGACTCGCTCCTTCTCAACGCCAGTGGGACAGGCGATCTGGACATGAGCATTTCATCATTGAGAGAGGGCGCAGGAAGTGGAGGGTTAAATATCAAGACCAAGACGACAGGGTCATCCTCTGACGCTCACAAGGCGGGAGTTTCTTTTTCTGGAGGTGAGGTCCCAATAAGTTTTCCTCCGGTGAAATTTGCGCCGATAGTTCAAAAGGTTTTCACTGCACCGAACATATCTCCTGCGGCACATGGGGCTCGGGATGCACAGACCGACACACTGGTGTCTGCTCCTTCAAGCAGTAATATCCACCACAGGGACGACAACGGTGGCAGCGGCGGCGGCGGTGTTAGAAACTCCAACAAAAAAGCAAAAAAGAAAATATCTACCACTTCGGTAAATGAAACTACAGTGAGTCGACACAACAGCGGAGCTTTTTTTCCCGTAGAAGCTCCCCATGTAGAGAGATCACAAGTATTATCCTTTTCACAGCGGAAGGACGTTGCACCTGCCGGACCTTCGGTTGGAGGTGATGCCAGTGCAGAGGGACCCGTGCACCCCAATCCTCTCTTGGGAGTCGGGAAACAGACGCCATTAAAGTGCTGCACGTTGATGTAAAAACCGTGAATACGTGGAGTAAACTGCTAAGGGTAGGTATGATGAAGAGAGACTGGGGGGCAGAAGGGGCAGTTCTTTGTGAGGAAAAATGAATTTCCTTCTGTGCGAGGGCATAATATTCCTTCCTGAATTTCTAAATAATAAAAGGATTCGAGAAAACGAAACAAAACACAAGGCCTACGGATTCTTGCTGGCTTACCCGCTGGACGGAGATCTCTTTGTCTTCAGCGTGCATCACACATTCTGCAGTTTTTTTCTTTTGCTTTTTTGACGTTTTTTTTCTTTTTCTTTTTTCTTATTATTCCTCTTATTTTTCTACTCTGGAACATATGAATGAAAAGGGCATGGAGCCCCTTTCTGCGCTACTCCTGTGCCACCACCCCGCGCAGGGTGCTTGTCACGGTCTTTTTTTTCTTCTACAGGGCTTTTTTTTTGTTTTTTCTGCCGTCTCTTTTTTCCTCGCTTTTTTGTTGTGTGCTGCTTTCACCTGTTCCCTCTTGTTTTTTTTCCTTCTCTTTTATTGTCCCTGCATTCAAGCTGCCCTTGTGTACTGTTGCCGTGGTGGGTGGGCGTGGACTCTAGAAATTACTGGACAGGAGCCCCCCTGACGCCGTTCTTGTCGATGCCACTTCCAGCACCACCGTCGCCGCTGCGCGGCACCCGCACGAGGGAGCCGTCGCCTGTCATCACGGAGGCGGCCCCGGGCTTGCCGTTGCGGCAGCCCAAATGTCTGATGGATTACGGGAGAAACAAACCACTGGAGGAGAGAAAAGGAGAGAGCGGCAGCAATACGCACCTGGAAGACTCGTGTCTGGCCGTTGGTGATGGGCAGTCGATGCGGCGGCCCAATCCGACAGATAAACTCTTGACGTATCGACGTATGCGTTCACGCCTCCAACAAGGTTCACCTGGTGTTGGTTATACAACGTCGGCTATTCAGGATGATCTTGCGGCAAAACGAGCCGCCGCGCTGGCAGAGACGGGAATTTCGATGGAGCCCCTTCTTTTGGCGAGACTGCCAAAAGAAATGACGGGTTACATCATAGATATAGAGGAACAGAACCGACAGCTTCGCCAACAAGTCATTGAACTGCAAGAGGAGCTTCAGCAGGAGCAGCGACAACAAAAAGGACGCATCATAATGGGCCCATATCGCCAGCCAGCGGACGCCGTTGGTGGCAACAACCACATGGTTGAAATGGATGCCGAGAAGGAAGAAGGCTATCCATATGCGACAGATGGTTTTCCACTTATTTCTGGTGGGTCATTAAGCAAAGAGGAGCGAGACCGCTACATGAATGATGTTCTTGCTCAAGTGGATGTTATTGTGCATGCGCATCGCAATCAAAGTGAGGCAATGATTCTTAAATATAAGCAGGAGGCGGAAGAGGCCAAAATAGCCCTTAAAAATCTCCGTGAATTGATTGCACTGGAGGGTGTTGATTTGTCCATGCTACCAGCAGCTCTGGCAACGTTGTCCGGACCTGCACTCACGGCTGGCAGTGGCGGAGACAACAACAACGGCAACGGAAGCGGTGACATACGGAAAACAAGCACTAAATTTTCAACACCATCGGGAGTTGATACCGCCATCGCCGGTGTGGTGGCAGTGATGAATGAGAAGTGTGCCGCGTTGTTAAGTGAGGCGGTCGACGTGGTGCTTAGGGATCTGCTGCAGGTGGAGGCGGGCGACGATGTACCGACGGTGGTGCGTCAGTCGGTGCAGCGCGGCTTTGAAATGTTGGCACGCCACCTCGCATCTGTGGTCATAGAGTACATTAGACACTGTACAGAGGAATTGCGTTACACACACAAGGAGCGCGAGACGGTGTGTCGTGAACTACGCGAGGAGCTGAATTTGAGTGAGCGTCAGCGCATGCGGACGGCACGGCAGTATGAAGCGGAGATTCGTGCATTGCGTGATGAGCTTCATGCTTTTCATGTTGCTGCAGCCGGGGGTGACGAACTCAGGGGGACAATTCATGAGCGGGCCCTTGAGGAATATACGGCGCTGCTTGTTGACAGCCGGAAGGAGGCGGAGGCACTGGGCCGTCAGCTGGAGGAGGAACGCTCCGACCACGCTACGACATGCCTGCGCCTCAAATCGAGTCTACAACGCCGCAGTTTAGAGTTTGAGGAGGCCGTCGTGCAGCGCGCGGAAGAACTTGTCAGGCTTCGCGACGCAAACATTGCGGAACTTCAGCAGCGACTGGACACGTTGAGTCATTTGGAGGAGCGGCGTGCATGCGGACGCTCCACGAAAGCTGTGCAGGTGCAGGCAGCGGAGTCCATCGTTTTGGACGAGTCAAATTACATGCCAAACGTGATTTCGGTTGCCTCATCTTTGAAGGGTGCGTCGCCTCTTCCCAGTCAGCGCCTCGCAACACCCACGCAATCGGGGAACCACGTCACGGCGGCTCCATTTCCGTCACAGTTACCGTTGGCACCCTTTACGCAGCCACCAATGACGCCACGCATCCCGGGCAGGGTGGAATGTGCCCCACAACAGGAGAACTCTTTCGAAGAGGAGGTGTGGGCCAAGACGATGGAGCTGCTCGCAAAGTACGCCCATCTTTCACAAAATTAGACGGGTGGTTTTTTTTATTATTATCGTTCATATTTATCACCTTTTTTTTTCCTTCTGGTGGTGGGGCAGCTCTCATCTGCGTTTCCCACCTTTTTTTGCTCTCCTTTACGGAAGATAGACGCGCTACCCTGGCGACGCATGCACATAGCGGTGTCGTTGCCTGCACGCGGTTGAAATTTAAAGAAACCTTTTTTATTTATTTTTATATAACTTTTAAAGGCTTTCTTCTATATACATTAAAATACATATATATATATACTTTCACATTCCAGGGCCGTTTTTTTTTTTTTTTGTTTGATTGTCTTCTTGATATGAGCGCACATGTGAGTTTCAACTTGGAGGATTATTGCCCCCTTCACACATTGCCTTCTCCTTTCTCTCCCTCGTTTTTTTTTTCTATGGGCGCCGTTTGTGTCTGTGAGTGGGTTAGCGAAGGGGCGTATAATACCGAATAAAAACCACACACACACACAGAGGAGGAGGAGGAGGAGGTGGTGGTGGTGGAAAGGTCAAGGCGAAGAGAGCGCCTCATTTCTCATTTGTCACACGGGAGAGTAGCGCTGAGGATGAGTCTTTCCCTGGAGGCACTGAACTCGTTTCTTAGAATGATTGGACGCACCACAGGCGGTGGCGTGACAATGGATGTAGAATTCAGAGAGACGCTGAAGCAGGCTTTGGTGGCGATGGAGGAACTTGCGCGGGTGGCGCAGGAGGGGCGTGCCAACTTTGTCGCCGCACCCGTCCTGTCTGCTCTTCTCAGCGCGTTTTATGTTAAAAAGACTCGTGTGGTGGGGGCCGCCCTGTCTGTGCTGCAGCAGTTGATTCACGACTGCCGCATCTCCTACGACACACCGATTATATTATATCAGTATCAGCGAAATAAACAGGCGCTGCGCTGTGGGGAGGCTTTGTTTTGTGCTGTAGATGACTTTCTCGTCAACACCGCCGACGCGGCGTTGCAGCTGAAAGGCTTGGAGGTCCTCCATGATCTTGTGAGTGACGACAACTTTGCTTACCTCACTGGAAGTTGCGTTACCCGCTGTGTGCGGACATGCTACCAGGTGACGCTGCAGAGCTCGAACGAGGCCGCAAGAATTATTGCGCGTGATGTGTTTGTTCTTTGCGTTCTTCGAGTGACGAGGGCCTTTGTGGAGGCCACACCATCGGAGCGTCGATGCGGTAC